GGTGCTTTATTGTCCTATTTTATAGGTGAGAAAGCTGAGGCTTGTTGTGCCCAAGGTCACAGATGGAGGGAAAGGATTTGGGGTTGATTCTGTGAAAGGACCTGTGAGCTTGAACATAAACTGGTTGCACCAAAAGCTGCCTCTTTCTCCTCTTCTTTTTCCTCCTCTTCCTCTTCCTCCCCTTCCTCCTCTCTGCTGTGCCTTTCTCATAGGTGGGGAGGGCTGTATGGAGTCTCAGGGAAGCTACAGAACATGGGGAAGAGGCTGGTCAGACCCTGCTAAACCTTGGTTTCAGTGTTGAGGGAAGAAAAATTTGGTATAAAGTATAGACTGGGGTGGTGATGATGTAGCTTGTCGTTTCTTCTTTGCTCTCCTTGCAGGAACACCTCCTGTGTCCTGTGCCTTTGGTCAGCCTTGGGTTAAACAGGGGCATAAACCCAGCCCCACCCCTCCCCGTGGTGTGAGGGGCAGAGACAGGTGAGCAGACAAGTGCCTGGCAATGTTGGGTGTGGCCAGTAGGACTGGTGGAGGTGAAGGAGTTACTTTTCCCACCTTTTATGCTGCGGTTTCCCCTTTCTGTAATATGGAGGGGTATGCTCTGGGACCCACGGGGAAGGGCAATCCCTTCCTACTTCATATTTCCAGCTTATAGTTCAAAATAAAACAGTGTTCATGCTCCTGCTTTAAAAAAGCCCTCAGTGCCACCAATTTTAAGTGGAAGAACAGATGGCCATGGTATTTACATTACAAATGGATTTTTCATTTGGCTGGAGGATCAATGTAGGTATATTTGGAGGAGGAATTGTATCCCCCCACTCCCTAACTCATATGTGGAAGCCCACACCCCCAGTGTGACTGTATTTGGAAGTAGGATTTTTAGGAGGTTATTAAGGTTAAAAGAAGTTATGAGGGTGGGGCCCTAATCCAATAGAATTGGTGATCATATAAGAGCTAGAGATATCTGTCTCTCTCCCCCCACTCTCCCCCCAAATACACCAAAGAAAGGCCATATGAGGACACAGAAGAAGGCAACTGTCAGGAAATGTGGTAGCAAATCCTCTGTGCATGAGCGTGAGTACATTAATTTATGCTGCTTGTTACCCTCAGCCCAAGAGGAGAGCCCTCACCAGGTGCCAACCTTACAGGCACCTTGATCTTGGACCTCCAGTTTTCAGAGCTGTGAGGAATACATGTCTGCTGTTTAAGCCACCCAGTCTGTGTTGTCGTGTTATGGCGGCCTGAGCAGACTGAGATGAGCTCCTTGTCCAGACAGCCTGTAGTGTGCTTTGACCTAATGTTAGTGTGAGAAAGAGGAGTGTGTGTGTGTGTGCAACTGTGCCTTGTGTGTGTGTGATTTATCATAAGGAAGCCTAAGAAGATATGATGTTTTCTGTGGAGTGAGAATCACCATTTTTTTTTTCAAGTTTTGGCCCAGGCTGGGTTTGAACCCCCCTACCTCTGGTATATGGGGCTGGCACCCTACTCCTTTGAGCCACAGGTGCTGCCCAAGAATCGCCATTGTTGACTGTAACTACTATTTCCCTCCCTCCTTCACACCCTCATTCTTCTTGAGAGTTTTCAGGAACTTGATTTCTCTGCAGTGTCCCTGCTTTATGGGTGCACATGTGGGTGTGTGGGTGTGTGTGTATTTGTGTACAAGTGGGGTGTGTGTAATTGTGCGTGTGTATATTTGTGTGTGTGTGTGCAGGGGTATGTGTAGGGGGGATAAAGGTGTATATATTCTGCTGCTATAAACCAACACTGGGAGAAAAACATCAGAAGAAGATTGAGACCCCTCCTTGAAGTGAAAGCCCCTTCCCCTGTGGTGTGAAACCCTCCCCATGGAGAAGCCCCCTTTCTGAGATCTCTATCATGCTTTGGTCTGGGGCCCTCCCTCCTCTGCTCCCCCTACTCCCAAATGGACAGGAATGGTCCAGTCCAGCTTTCTCTCTTGTCTCCTAGTAACTATCCTGGGCAGGTGGAAGGCGGATGGCAAGGTCTGCAGGTTGGGACAGGGCAGTAGGCAGGAGCAGGATGGGCAGGGGTCCTCCAGGCTCAGAGACATCTTTTCATCTGTGTAGCATTGGGGGTGGGGGCAGTGCTCATTATTTAACGGTATAATTTGTGTTGACAGCATGGACGGGAATGTTTCATCAGGCAATTACACAAAGGAGCCTGACTTGTTCCCAAACACAAAGGCAGCAGGCGGCATAAATTAATGTGCACGTGTGCCCATGCAGTAAGGGTTTGCCACCACGCTTCCTGAAAGCAGGAGAAAGAGACATTGCCTTTTCCTTCTGAGACCAGAATTGCGGTAAGAAAGAAAAGGCAGAAAGAGTTATTTCCTGGCAAAATGAGAACAATTCAAGCAAGAAGCATCCTCTCTCCCTCTACCATTCATTCCAATAAGAGTTCTTTGGGGTCCTGGCCTCGTCTCTCACACAATCGGGCGCTCTCAGCCCAGACAGCCGTAGTGAGAGTCTGCACTTGGACAAGTCATATCCCTCCTCCCTTCTGCCTTTGATGTTTATCTTAACTAGATGTCACCTGGATGAAGATCAAAGGTAGCCTTGGAGGAAAAACAGTGTCACAAAAGGCTGCTCTCCCCCCAGAGTCAGTGAAACAGGTGAGGTTGGAATGAGTCCTGTCTCCCTTTCTGCTTTGTCAAAGTGATAAGAGGAGCTCTTTCTCTCTTTGTGTCTTTTTTTTCTTTCGTCCCTTCTCTAACTTTCCCTTCCCCTTTTTAAAGGAAGGGTTTGGTGGGGGCAGTTGAAGGACACATGTGGGTTTTCCAGCTCCAGCGGCTCCCAAAGGAGACACAGTGTTGCAGAGTTAAAAGGAACAGGGCGTGGGGGCTGGCATTACTGTTCTGGCTTTGCCACTGCAGAGCCATGGGACCCTAAAATGACTCAGCCTCAGTTTATCTCCTTATGGAGGACAGGGTGGTCTTAAGAGCCCTGGCAGCTCCAGCACTCAAGGACTGTCTGGCCATTCCTCTCAGGTCTCAAGATTCGCGTCCTCCCCTGATGACTCTTGGCAAACAGTAGCAGAGCAGTGCTAACTACGGGACTTCTTCTGCCTCCTCCTCCATGTGTATTTCTCCCAAATGTCAATTTTGTTATCATTATTATTGGATTTTTAATGTACATGTATATGTTGTAAAAAGAAATTTAATTAGCAGCATTCTAAGTGAAATTCACTGATAACCCAGCTTCTCCATAATGTGTGTGTTCCCATACTTAAAAACCACACATATAAAGATGTCATTTATGTGTTTTGATTTCTAGAATTTTTATTTGTGTTTTGATTTTTTGACACAAGGACTGTTGACATGCTGACCTGTGGCCCATCATACTGAAAGAAGAAAAGGCAGTATCAGCTTCTTTTGGGAGCAGAGAGATGTGTCTGTCCCCAGCTCTGAGCTGGGTCTGTCCTTTCGGCATCAAGAGCGTCCAGACTCGCTGTTTGTGCAGGCAGCTGTTTGCAAATTTATTTCCACAAAGCTGTGTCAGGAGGCTAAGGACTTTCACAAAGTGAGTCTGATGTCAGTTTGTTGTTGCAACAATGGACACAATTTGTAGTGATTGCTGTTTCCTTTTCTCTTTCCTTTTAAGAAACTTAAACATGGACACCCATAGCTCAGTGGGGAGGGCACCAGCCACATATGCTGAGGCTGGCGGGTTCGAACCTGACCCAGGCCAACTAAAACAACAATGACAACGGCAACAACAACCACAAAAATAGCTGGGCATAGTGCTGGGCACCTGTAGTCCCAGCTACTCAAGAGGCTGAGGCAAGAGAATCACTTAAGCCCAAGAGTTGGAGGTTTCTGTGAGCTGTGTGGCACTCTACCCAGGCCAACATAGTGAGACTTTGTTTCAAAAAAAACCAAAAACCAAAAACAAACAAACAAACAAACAAAAAACAACTTAAACTTGATAAACTACATGCCATTTAATAAGAAAATTAGAAAATAGATGATTCTACAGGAAAAATAAAAATCATAGCATTTCTTTATTTAAAATATGTTTAGTGTTTTATCAAATATATAAACTTTTCACACACTCATATTTAAGTCGCTTTTTTAGTTGGCTTGATGTTTGCAGTTCGGAAATTGCTTGAGGTTATACATCACCTGTCCCATCTCCTGGGACCTGGACCTGGAAGTCACATTCCCTCACCCAGGCCCTGGGAATGCAGCAATGAATATAGTCTCAATTCTTGCTCTGAAGGTTCTCCTAGTATGTTAGGTGAATAACATACTAGGAAACTAACCAGAAAAATACCTAGTGTATAGTACGGGACATACTAAGATTTACAGGCATGCTAAATATCATGGAAGCAGGTAGGAAGAAGTGGTTAATAGAATAGGTGTGAACCTGGTAAATTTCAAGGCTGTTGAGGCAATTCCGAACATCTTGGTTAGACTTTAATTCCAGACACAAGTGATGTGTTCCTAGGGAGACAGCTTCAGAGATGCTTGCCAGTGGATTTGCGGAGAGGGGGCTCCAACTTCCACTTTCAGCATCTTGAGGCAGAGCCGTGGGAGGTAGCATTTCATTTCCTGTCTGCGGAAGCCTTGCATCTTTGCCCCCATCTCTTAAGTCTGCAGTCTCCCATATGCTTGGGTGGGAGCGTGTGGGTCTTATAACTCTGGGACAGCAACACTGGCTTCATTTTTAGTGCAGGCTCATCTGAAATCCCTGTGATTCCACCAAGCTGGAATAGACTCTGGCTATACACAGACTTCTTCCCTTTAAGCCCTTAGAAAAACCTTCGCGTGGGACCAGCTCTGTGCCAACTGTCACTCATTCTGGAGGAGGGGTGTGGGGTGGGTGGGGGCATTCACATATCATTATGGAAAAGTGCATCTGATGTAAACTTCAAATCTGCGCAGTGATACATGCTGACTTACATCAAATTCATTGGAAATAGACCCCGAGACAGGGAACTGCGTGCAGTCAGCTTCATTTTTTTTTTTTTTTTAAGTTTTAAATTAACAGGGAAGAGCATGAATGCAACACCCCACGATGACAAATTAGATAGTCGATTTTCCCCCATTTGGGGAAATTGCAGGGGTCAGCATACCTGGAGTGCAATGGATAAGCCTCACCCTAGGAAAACCATCTTTGTAATCATGGTGCTTCCCTGCCAGGTAAGTATAGCAGAGACTTCTGGTGCACTGCTCTTAGGAAATGCACCTGTAGGAAAATGAGGAAGACTAGATCCACCAGTGGGAGAAACCAATGAGCAATACTATTGCAACTAAAGTTTCAGCCAATGCTATAAAGAGCTCTGGAGCTGGGATTGACCTTCAGAGGTGTCCCAAACTGAGTCAAGGATATGGTGGCCATGTCCTGGCACTAGTTAGTCAATAGCTATGAGTTACGTCCCGAGAGGAAGAGTAACCTTGGAGGAAGCAGTTTGCTGCAACTAATGGTAATTCCCAGGAAGGGATGGAGTTATGAGCTGTCAGCAACAAAATTCCCAGCAGCAGAGAGGTGGATGTTAGGGGGAAAGGGAGTTGTGGTAGGCAGCAAGTGTCCACTGCAGTCCACCTTTTATGTCACTTAGATCCACTTAGAGGTTTTCCTCATCTGCAAACAGGTCCTTCAGGATACAAGTTGGTCTCATTTTCCAGGGAATTAGAGGCAAAGAATCAGTGGGACAAACCATAGCTCTTTCTGCTTAGTTGTTCTCGAAGCGATTACTGATACTACCCACCTACTTCATCAGCCATTTTGGATACCCCTTGCCTTTGGCTGACCCTTTTACTAGTCTAGGTCCCTTGTCTGGTGGTGTGAACCAGATCCTCACCCCTGAGCATCTGAGCTGCTGGCTACCACGCTCTTCTCAGGGCAAGGCTTCTGTATCTGCCCATTTATTATTAAAACAGCCCACATGAACATTGCCCTAGTGGATCCGTTCAATACTATGGTCTTCTTCCCTGCCCTCATTGTCCAGCAGGAGCCTGATCTTCTGTTTTATGATGGTTCCTCTCCAATCCCTGTTGGCTTTCTGGTATGAGGAGGACAAAGGTACTTCTTTGCAAGTGTAGCTTGAAGTTTAAAGCTGAAACTCCACATAGAAGCATTCCCTCTCTGAGGACCAGGACCTGTAGCCCCCAGAGCCTACTATTGAAGGATTGGGAGCATATATTTCCCAAGTGGGCTACAGGTTATTGGAAAGTGGGCCGCTCTTACTTCCCTGCTTTATTTCTTGACTCATGTATCTTCTCTACAGGGAGCACAGTACCATATTATAGTTATTAACTTAGATGTGTGTTGTCCAGATTATGCCATATTTAAGTCGATTTCTCCACTGCTTTTTTAAGAGGCTATTCTATCTCCTGATGGTGCAGCAGGTGACAGGACTAGTGACTCTCATGGTCAAATGCCTACTACTACTGCTGCCTTTTTTTTTGCTATTAAATAAGTCTCTTAGCCTAAGGCATTGTTGGTTAGTTGATGAAATCCTCTGTAAGTCTTATGAGAGTTGTGTTGATCAAATCTCAAGGGGTAAAAAATTCAAGTGCATACTGGACTTATGTGTTGATATTAGTCAAATTGAATCATTGCTCTGTTTAGGGTGAAGGAGTCCAGAGTAGTCAACTTGCCACCAAATTCATCTCTTCAAGGGCTGGTGGCAAACATGGCCTCCATCTTAGTTTCTGTTGCTGACGGGTTGGATGTTCAGCAGCCATGGCAGCCAGACCAGCCTTGGCAAGCCCTTGGCTACTGGGCCCAGGCATGGCTCTGTCCCTTCTGCCATGGCTGTTCCACTCAGGTGTTCATTGTGTATGTACTAGGGGGGTCCATAACAAATATGGGCTGATGTCAAATGACTGAGTCATTCTGCCCATGTGACTGGTTCAGTGTCTCTTCATTGTGAATGCCATTACTAAGACCTTCACACTCTATATCCATTCCCATAGGTCTAGCTTTCTAAGACCTGGTTCCTATTCTTCCAATATTTCTCCTTTTAGGACCCTGGGACAGCTTGCAAGTTCACTTAAAAGATGCCCTAAGTCTATGAATATTTTTACTTTAGGCTACTTCTCTTTTCACAATGTGGAAGGCCTGATGCATCACACAAAATCTGGACAATTTGGACAATTTCTCCTCATTACTTTCTTACACGGCCACTCTGAATGGGGCTGTAATGTAACAGCAGTGCATTTTTGGCTCACACTGATATACCCAGGTAACCCATTCATGTGCCCAGCTCATACCTTTTCCTCTTCCACTTGCTGAGTGGAAGGAAAAAAAGGTGTGAGCTGTGGGAGAGACCCTAGTGCAGCAAGAGTATGTGACATAGGGGATGAGACAACCTGTTCATGGAGTGTACTTGTGCCCAGTTCTTATTCATGCCTAATCCCAGATGTACCTCTTCCAGCTTGGGAAGGATTGGGTCATCCCAACCTTCTGACTTGGTGGGTATGACAGAGCCTGGCCTACAATTGGCAGCTCTGGTTGGGCAGTCTCTGGGTGCCCATGTTTCAATGGCCCATCTTTCCTAGGGCCCAGTGGCAAGTCAGGTCCTTGCTTCCAAGTGGAATATGCTCCTATGGCAGATGGCATGGCCTTGCTCCAAAACCCACGAGTCTACATCGTGATCTGTTGAGGCATGCCATTGACTCTACTTGATGTCTTTTCCAAACACAGGAACCTCTGATGCCACAAAGTCTGCCAGGTTGTATAGCCAAATGACAAGGCTGCTTTGCTACAGCTTGGACCTTCCTCAGAGACCTTTCTAGGCCTTACTCAAAGCTGGCAGCCTTTAATGTCACCTGGGTAACTGGGTCGGAGGAGTTTTTCCAAGGCTAGAATATGTTTTTCTCTAGAATTCTAAGAAATCAAGCATTGTGCTCCTTCTTGACAGGGAGAGTCATTAAATATAATAATCTGTCATTTTGGGGGGACATGCTTTTATGCCAGGGTCATGGAATCCTAAACACTTCACCGACATGACAAGCCCTGAATCATCATAGAATTCGTCTGCACCTTCAGAGTATAGCGCCTTACCCTGGCCTCCAGCATACCTGCTGCTTCTTCCTTAGCTAGTCTAATTAGCATGACATCACCAACATAGCAGACCAAAGTGATAATGGGTGGAATATACAGATGATTCTGGTCTCTTTGCTCTGTATTATGGCAGAGGGAAAGTGAAATCCTAGGACAAGATTATAAATATACATTGCTATTTGTCTCATGTGAATGCATACAGGTTTTGACCCCCGAGAAGGGACAGGAAGAAATGCATTTGCTGATATCCGCATAATACGGGTGGGAGTCTGCTAATCTGCTCTCGCAAAGGTGCCTTGTCTCCCACAGCAGGTACAATAGGGGCTGCTCCTTGAGGAAGTTGACCTGTAGTTCCCTCCCATTCACCATGACCTATCTGGAGTTCAGGGTCCTGGCATTCTCACTGCTATCCACTATCAGGGTGTCAGTTTTGTGACAGTGTTTCTTACTGCCAGCTCCACTTGAAAGAAGACAGACCACTTAGCATCTGAATGATTCTGATGGCCCTCTCACCAGCATATTCCTTACCACTTTGGGGAACGGAGTGTCCCCTTAGCCTCATAGAACATAGTCAGCTGGTGGGCTTTCTGCCTGTATCTACTCTGTGACACCCACTTTCCTGAGACCTTTGAGTCCTTTTTCTACCATCTGCCAGGGAAGTGCTGGCATATCCATTTCATGTGGGCTGTTGTCTTTTCTAAGTTTCCAAGGTCTAACCTGGAAGTTTATTACCATCTTCTCCCAGGATCCTTGCCAGGGAGTCTGATTTCATACCATGGGAAAATTTTTAGTGCATTTGCATATTGATATAATCTCTTTTACCAACTGTCTTCCATCCCTTTGATTCATTGCTGTCAGGATCCAGTCCAAAGCATACACTTCTACCTCTTCCTGGTCCATGTCAGCCAGATCCTGCCCTCCTTGAGTGTATGGCCCTCTTCTCGCTTAGCTGACCTGGTTTTGTTTATTTGACTTTTCCTATTGGGCTGATTAACAAAAGGGAAGATTGGAATTGGGGTCCTGAGGGGAGTGTGCAAAGTCTTGCGCGGCACGGGACATATTTGCCACTACTGGCTGACACTCAAGCAAGGCGGGAGCCACTACCATCTTTCAAGGGAGATAGGCTACTTCTACAAGTACAGCAAGTTCTGGGGTGGATTGAAGTTCAAAATTCTCAATGACATCATTACTTGAACAATCACATCTCAAGTCTCAGAGTCCCACTCCTTCTCTGTTACAGCCTTGACCTTGGCATAGGCGACCTCCCAGATGAGAATCCAACCTTCTCTGACGTTCTTGTGCTTTTACATGATTAGTTCCTGAAGTTGAGCCTTTGTGCTCATGGACTTCTGCTGCCAACTTTTAGGATTTCTTTACATACTGCAAAGGAAATCCTCTGGCTTTCACATTTTGCCTAAATTTGTCAACTGATTACCATGAGTCTGATATCATCTCCCTTGAGCAAATGAATCAGTGGCATTCTGCCACAGCCACCAGTTCCATGGTCTTTCTAGTTAGTACGTCTCTCATGCCTCTCCAGGGTCAGATGTATTACTCCAGCCACCAGTCCTTCCCCTGGTGTCCTAGCAGGCTGGACTGTGGCAGACATGTCACAGATGACCAGCTGCAGCACTCCAAACACCAACTCTCCACACTACTGAGGATGGAGTCCACATTGCCTGCTGGCCAGGGAGTAAACCACCTCCAAAATCACATTTCCACTCCATAGAGCCAGTCCTGGTACTAACTGGCTTCAAGTGAGTTCCCTGGAAACAGGCCAGGAGATGGAGAAGTTCATCTAGAGTTTTTTAGGGAGTGCTCTAGGGAGAAACAACTGGAGGAAAAGGTGAGGAGGGCAGGATTGGGAGAGGAGGAAGGAAGAGAAATGTTGCTGATCTAAAATGCAGTTTCCATCGAAGATTTGGCCAGTACTGTGGGTAGCTTTGATCTAGGATGACCTTTAAGAGTTGTCCTCATTTGAGATAAAGTTGAGATGTTGAATTCACCCACATCAGTCCATTATTGGCCATGTGTTTTGTCTTTGGAGTATGTTTTGGCTTAAGACAATATCCAGCCAGGGTCACAGCTATGAATCATCAGCAGCCAATATTCTCATCTGGGGATTGGAGAGAGAAGCTG